CACTGTAGCACTGCTACAGTGCTCGGTACACCTGAGTGTACCGCTCGGTACACCTGGGTGTACTGAGCGGTATACCGTACCGTACCGGTACCGAGCCCGGGTCGAAACGCCGGTACGGTACGGTACGGCGAACCTTGGTGATTACATTAAATAAGTTGGTAAGGAAAATAAAAGTATGTGAAAACTGAGAATTATAACTGTAATCAATTACTCATGTCCATCAATTTAGGTACTAGATATAGAAAAAGAAAGGGTCCCTTGAACTTAACAAAAGAGTGTTTTTTTTTTTGTTGGTATCAAATTAAAAGTTTTAACTTCCAAGGTAATTATATATGATTTTCATGTACTTGTTACGATAAAAAAAATTATATTTACCTTCCTACTGTACACTATTCACTAGCACCTATAGCTAAACTTGGTATTTGTTAATAATGTTGCTAACTTTACACAGTTATTTTTTATATATTTAAATGCTAACTTCTGACTCTTTTCTCAGTGGTTTTATATTTTGATATTTGAACATTCATATGTATAAGTAGAAAGTTGTCTTTTGCATTACACAATGTGTTAAATTTTTATAATGTGATGTATTTTCCCCAGCAAATCAGTACTCTAGCTGGTAACCAAGTTCCAAGTTACTTCGTGTGGGAAGTTTTGTTCACCATGGCAATCGTTGGACTAGGCCTGCTTCTTTTTGCCTTGCTCATTGGAAACATGCAGAATTTTCTTCAGGCTCTTGGTAGAAGGTAAAAGAACACCTAACTTTAGCTTCTGTGGTTTATATTGTTGTTACTATTTATCACATAGGGTATTATTTCTCAAGAGGAAAGAGATTTTTATTGCTCTTGTGATGTATTCTTTTGTTGCATATATGTGACTGAAAGTTCAGATGTATGATTGAGTGTAATCTACTTGCTAAAGTTGGATGTTGCTGAAGAAAAGGGTAGTTTGAGAAATTTTTGGTGCTGGCTTAACACATACTTTTTTTCTAATTTTCTTTTAGTTTTAATGTTAATGCTTATTTTGCAAGAAGATATCTAAATGCATTCCTTCACATTTATATCCCATTTAATCTGTTTGTTTTCATGTTTGAATTAGGATCATTTTATTTATTATTGTCAAAATGTTGAAGTAATAATTTTTTTTCAATGAGATATTGTGTCAGTATTCAGATAACAATAGCGTAGTTGATTGTTTTTTATCATACATGATAGCTTACATACTGAGAAATGAGAATTAAATTGAAGTCTTAAGATTGGTGAAGGTTCAAAGAGCAAAATGTTTTACTAGATAGAAAGTATTGTGTGGCTTATGACTAAGCTAGAACTCATGTGCACCAAGAGAAAACTTTGCTTGCTATAAATAGTTCATGCCGCAAAAATCTTGAAGGGTTTTGGTTCAAGCCCAGCACCTGTTTCTGGCCAAGATTGTACATGTCTGGTATGTACCAATTCACCAATAAATGGTTGCCAACATACCAGGTGGCATGGACCAAACTGAAAGAGGGAGAGAAGAGGGAAGGAGGACATGGATAGGAGGTAGAGGACCTGAAACGCACCTGTTGTTGATAGTCATTTTCACCTTCTAAGACCCCATATTCAAAAACTTATGTAACCTGTTTCAAAAAAAATAATAGATCTTTAAAAACCTGTTTCAAAAGAGGACCTGAAAATGTACCTGTTGTCAACAGTTGTCAGCAGCTGTTTTCAGCTGTCCATAATAAAAAGAAAAAGCTATTTTGAACTGAACCAGGTGGTAGTCCCTGGTCAGAGAGGTAAAAATACTAGTACATACTAGTCTGGATGGTTCTTCCAGCCTGATTACTTTTCTAGGCAGTAGGCACTTCATTATTAAACCCATTGGTTTCTATAGAACTTTGAAAATGAGCTTCAAGCATGTTCAGTCCCTGTACCTATTGGAATCTTCACCTTTGATGATCTAATTAGAAACTAGATGGAGATGTAATTGACCATTAAGTTCATCAGTCTGAAAATTGATTAGATAATGCTTTGTGAATCACAATTTCTAATAGATAGATGAAAGCATGTTAGGGACTTCCAGTTACTTAAATTGATTTTCCTTTATGTAGTGACTTGATGTGGATTCAAAGAGGATGTAAAGAGACTTATTCATCTAATTGGGACATTCTGATGCTGCTAAATTACCTAGGATCATGAATCTTGTGTCTGTGTACAAGAACTAAACATTTGCAGTTGGTCCTCCAACTTTGGCTGGTCAAGTAAAAAACTGGTCAAGTAAAATTGTCATTAATCTAATTGGAAGTAGCTGGAAATTAATTGTTCTAATAAAAAACTATTAGATATAGTCAAACTAATATTTCAGAAGGCTTGTTTAGTGAACTTCAATCTTCCAAGCAATTGTTCTATAAGTCAGTGTTTAGTATTTTATCTTGTTGATCTTATGACTTTTATCTTGTTCCATGTATTTCTTTTACTAGGAGACTTGAAATGCAACTTCGACGACGTGACGTTGAACGGTGGATGAGCCATCGGCGATTACCTGAACCATTAAGGAGGTTGGTTAAAAAATGATCTTTTGCCTGTCTTCATCATATTTTCTTCTCTTTATAAGTCTGTCCCCGACAAGTTTGGTAGTCTAGTTTTATTTTTGTTTACCTGTGTATAACCACTTAGTTGTTATGTCTTAAGTTCTATAGAAATCAATCAAGCTACATCTGGCCTTTTGTTTATTGTTGACTATTTTGTCCTTTAACTTGAAATTCTATCACCTGCTAATAGAATGCTACTGCATGCATACTTAAATTAATAGTTCAGACTTCAGAGGATTGGATCCAGATTAACTGACAATCCAACCTATCTTGGCTGTTTATCCTGGTAAATTCTAGCAGACCTGTAATTATTGGTTGATTAATCCAATTCTTGCTGATCCTGCAGATCTCTGTCGATTTTCGACAGATTGCAAGTGATTGTAATTTCAAAAAAAAAATCACAATCTGATTCGACGACCCCATTGCCAACTTGATCTTTCAGCCTGATCATGTGATCTTTGTATGACATTGTACCACTGGTATCATGAGCGCACATAGAAACAACCTGTTTTAGCTGTTGAGTTTTTGTTATAATTAAAGATTTTCCTCTCCTATAGTTTGTGTTTGTAAATCCCTATCATGGGATACCTTATCTAACTCAAGCATATGATTATGATAAAAATAAAACAAGTTGATTAAAGTGTATAGTTGCCTTAGAGGTACTCAATAATGGTCATGTACCCTTATATTAAATGAAAATTTTTATAAACAAATAAGGCTGTCAGGTTTACCATGCTTTATAGACTAGAATATTAGGTAGACAGATATATACTTGTGATGTTACTTCAAATCCAGGACCGTCATGCTTTATAAATAAATAAGGCTGCCAGGTATGAATATTTACCAAATGGTACACCCACACCATTCTATCATTGAGTTGTAGCAAAGGTGTTTGATGCACATCCGTGACTTTTCAATTGTGTTTTTTGTGTTTTTTCATAGGCAACTTGTACAGAACATGCAGCGGCATTGTCAACTGCATTTTGCTTTTAGCAATGTTTTTATTTCTGTATTTATTTTGTAAACCTTGGAAATGTTCTTGGTTGTTTGTCATCACGCGAGGAAAAATAACCAAAACAATCCTGTTTTTGTGTGCCACGGGCTGAATTTTACTGATGGTCTTACGATGAAAATGTGAGCTGTTTTAACACCCTGGGTGGCAGTAGTCCGGATCGAGCCTTGGTTCTACGTGTGAGGGATGGTGCAAAATCTTTAATTTGTGTGCTTTATGTTAGATAAAAGTGATAGGTGAACATTAGGTCTAAGCTTCCTTCGAAACCCCTTTGTGTGTGACCAGTCAGTCAGTTTGTGAGAGCATTGTGTGTCTAACAAAATCTAGTTTCTAAATCTGGTATTCTTACCCTTCCTATGCGCGATGGCAGTATATTACTTGTGCGTTCGTCTTTCTATTTTTATCTTTTCTATGCAGTCCACAACGTACAGTGTATAGAGGTGAAGGTCTTGGCTAACCCTTAGCGGGTGTGGCTTGGATGTCACATGCCTTGAACAAACGAACTAAGGAAGTGATGACAATATGACCCTTTATCACTCGGAAAATATAATTTAAAAATTAAACTCCAATCTTTACCAACCTATATTTTTCCAGTATTTTCCTTTGGTTGGAGCAGTCCCAGTCTGACCGATATTTGATTCCTTGGAATTATTCATTTGTCCCAATGGTATTTGATTCCTTGGTGGTGTTATTTGTATGTACAATTATTTTGTGGATTAAGTGAAAGGTGTATTTGCCATGGTATGGATGCAAAAGGCATAGCCTTGATCTTAAAAACTTGTAACAGACAGGACCATGGCCATAATAACAAGTAATGTGCATAACCTTCAACTTAAACATTACTAATATGACAAAAAATAATAATAATATGACTTCTTACAGGGAATGACAACGTTCAGTCGATCTACGAGTGTGAATAAGTGTTCAGAAGGCTTGATAATATCATTTAATTTTTGTTGTGCTTTGGTATGCATGTGGGGAAAAGGTTGTGAAGAATGCTTAATAGTAGAAAGTAATGAGTACACTGGAACTGTGCTATGGTATTCTACTATTAATATTAAAAGTATTTGTGCTCTGATAAGTGAACATTCATGAAAAGTATCAAAAATTTCTCTTGCAACTTATGTTACTTGATAAGAAGCTAAAAGAAGGTAACCAGCCTGATATTGAAGAAGTTCAAAAAATGCTCCTTGGACAAACAAAATGAAAGTAAGTAAAATCCACCATCTGAATAAATACACCTTGGTTCCATCTCCATACCATGGCATGAATAAGTAAACCATGCTGTCAGGGTGTATATTCACAAACGATATTGATATTCAGGACTGTTGCTGAACAATGTGTCAGGATTTTCAAATAACTGATCTCATTTTATTTAGATCATAGCTGCATTTGGGTAAGCACGAGGTTTATTCCAATGGATTTGTCCGATGAGCCATTGTTGTATCCACATTTCAAATACCACTGGACCAGTATGTGGCAAACCAGCAGTTATTGGTCTAACCAAGGATCAGTACTGGACCATATAGTTCAATCCCGCTCAATATTTATCTTCCATCATTTATTCAGTCATATCAGGTGGTATATGTTGGTTACCAGTACTATTTCAATCCAACAAGATATCAAACAAGAAATGAGACAAGGTAAATCTTTGTCTTTAATTTCCTTCCCTTGAACTGTGGTCTTTTTTCTCAAATCCATTGACACTTCTCTTTTGCATGATAGTGTATGATTTGCCTTGATGACATATACCATGCTAGCAACTAATAGACACATAAGCACACAGCAAGGCAGATAGAAAATCTTTTTCCTGCATTTTCTAGAATGATGAAACTTTGGTCAATCTTTCATTTTATTCATCATAAGATAGAACATACATTAGAAAAAGCCTCTTGTGAAATTATCTGTGGATTTTTCCCTAAATTTTGATCATTTGGGCATTGTTATAAGTGTGCAATGCATACCTAGCATGCATTCATAATAGGACTAGCTCATACATGGGTGCCGACTTGTGGTGGCCTGGCAAAAGCAAAGTACCAGGATATCTCCATGCCTGCTGACTACTTCCTCGTGATAACTATAACAGTTAGGAAGCATCTTTGGTACTGGCACATTAAGAAATGAAGCAATGTCATGAAATTGAAAACCTTCATCCAACAAATTTGTATTCAACTTATTTGATGGTGAGAAAGCATATTATTTCCATTCCTCTTTTAATACTACTTAGTGTTTTCCTACACAAATTTAATGACTTCAATCTCATATTTTGTTACATAACTAATGCAGACTATCTGGACGTAATATTGTGAGTATTGTCCCTTAGCTACATTTTCTACTTCTGCTTTTTTCACTAGGGTAATCTCAAATTAATTTATTTGCATGTTTGCTCTTTTTCTCTTTTTACGTTTTCTTTGACAGCTTCGTTTATTTATAATGCAGGAAAGTAAGACAAGCTGAAAGATTTAGTTGGGCTGCAACTCGAGGTGTTAATGAAGAAGAACTACTAGAGAATTTACCCGAGGACATACAAAGAGAAATACGTCGCCATTTCTTTAAGTTTCTCAATAAAGTTAGTTCCTAAAAAGATAATATTTTTGCACCATATGATTGAAGATACTATATCTGATAATAACCATGTGATGTAGTTTTAGGGCTCAATATAATAGGTCGATAATATAATAAGCAGTTTACATTTTGTATATGCAGCAAATAGTATAGAAGAAGGGCAGAACAGAAAAACAAGAATAAAGAATTTGAGAAAGAATAAACAGTGGAAACAACAAACAATTAACTGGCTGCTGAAGCCTTTTCTCGTGTTTTAAATATCATAATTTCAGGAGCCAGAGAGAGCTTTAGGGAATCATCCTATTCTCGAGGAAAAAGGAACAGATTTTCGTGAGGAACCATCAGGACAGTTTGACTACACAATTTTAGCAAAGGGATATTGTGATTTTCTATAATGGAGGACATAGTTTTAAGAAATAGAAGAAATTTCTCTTTTCTCATAATATAGACATCTATTTACCATAAAATTGCATAGTACCTAATATTCGCATGAAAGATGTGAGTCAAGTGAAATGTGTCACTGTAATTTATTTGAGAAAATTCTCGGTGGTCCTCTTTAAATTTTGTCCTGTTGCTATAGTTATTAGAATTACAGATATACCAAAAGTTTTTTAATCCATTACTCTAGTTTGTTTTGATTATCTTTTTCTTTTTTGTTTCTTTTATTTGTTGTTTTTCAACCATTTTCGATAAAACCTATTGGTGTCATGACTAGCCTAATGAGATAACTTGCCTATTAATTTTGTTGAGCTTGAACCACTGAATCGAAATGCTTGGTGTTTTACAATCTTTTCCATTGAAGTAGTCTGATGTCCTTGTTAAGGCCCAACATATTCTAGAATCAAAACCTAGTATGGTGCATACAACCTCATCCACTAAGCCCTAATATGAGATGAGTAGCTCTTTCCGAGCCTCTCACTATTCCCTAATACAAGGTTTGATATTAAATATCATGATCCTATATGATGAGATGAGATCAGGGATTTTAATATCGTTTCATACCGGTAGGTACGGGCGGTATCAGTCTTTTGGCCTTGTATCGGGCGATACGAGGCTATATCGGGCGGTAATGGTCGAAATTTCAACCGTTACCGACCTGTTCCGGCTGATATTGGGCGGTAACAGGAGAAATAAAGCCCTCGCGGAAGAAGAAGTTGCCTCCCTCCGACCTTGACTCCTTCACTTCTGGTGAAGCTGCCTCCTTTCGACTTTAACTCCTTCGCTTCTGGTCCCGACCTCCCTCATCGTCAAGAACCGCGGCCACTTGAAGAAGCCCTTGTGGAAGAAGAAGCTGCCTCCCTCCGACCTTGACTCCTCCGCTTCTGGTCCCGTTGCAACCCCCCTCGTAGGGGCACTGGTACGATACGAAATTAGAAACCTTGGATGAGATAACTAGTCTTTTAACTTTGTTGGGCCTAAACCAAGTTTAAATTAATACACACCCTTATAAGACAATGTTAGTATTTGTCCACTTCCAATGTGGGACTAACCTGATGTTACAATTGAACTTAACAAAATAATGGCAGTAGATGCTGGGCCAAAACTTGATTGGAAGTGAAATGTGATATTGTGATGTTGGATTGGTTAGCCACTACTGTAGACTTCTACTCAGTATCATATGGCTATTTTTTTTTAAAATGATTATTTACATTTAAATAATGTAACTATGTTGTCTATTTTTCAATTTATAATCATCATATAGGACCTGATTTCTCTTTCCTAAAGCTTTGACAAGCTATTGTTGGTTTAATTTGTTGTAGCAAAATTCTGGGTTATATTAAATTTACAAACAATAAAATCATATTTCACACAAAGTAATTGTCCACCTGTTAATTTTACAAAAATAAACTAATTTTGCAGGTCCGTATTTTCACTCTAATGGATGAACCAATCTTAGATGCTGTCTGTGAAAAGTTGAGGCAAAAGGTGTACATTGGAGGAAGTGCCATATTTTATGAAGGAGGTACAGTTGAGAAGATGGTTTTTATAGTCCGTGGGAAATTGGAAAGCATTGGAGCAGATGGAAACGTAGCTCCACTCTCCGAAGGAGATGTATGTGGTGAGGAGCTCCTTACGTGGTATCTTGAGCACTCTTCAATTAATAAAGGTATGATCTATCTTCTCAAATTATGCATAGCATTATAGTCTTACAATGTCATTCATTATTTGTTTTTTGTAATATGTAAATTCAAGAACCATCCTGTCTAGAAAAGTTCCTGCAAACATCTAAAGTTAGGAAAGCATCAGGACATCAAAGCCATGAGTTTTTTTTTTAATAGTCATCTTTTCCTTTTGAACATGGATCAGCTGTTCATTTGTGACCTTGTTTTTCTGTTTTTGGTAATGGAAAGTCCTTTAGTTTTGCTGAAAGTGGCAATTAGGAAAAAGAAAAAAGAAAATCCTATGGACTTGTAACTGGATGTAATTTTGCAATCATGCTAAAATGTGTCTTTAGGATTTTGTTTTGCTTGCAGAGGGTGGGAAAATCCGATTCCCAGGATCGCGCTTATTCGCTACCAGGACTGTTAAATGCATTACTAATGTTGAAGCATTTGCTCTTCGTGCTGCTGATCTGGAAGAAGTAACTACATTGTTCTCCAGGTTCTTGAGAAATCCACGTGTACAAGGAGCCATTAGGTAAATCATGCAGTTTCTTCAGAAAATAAATCCTTTTAGGTGATGAACATTATTTTGCATTTTTAAGTTCATGCATTTTTCGGAAAAAGAAGCAAGCTATTGTTTGCATGAAGGTTGGTCTTAATGAGCTTGGTCATAATTAATTTTCTGTTGTAATATCTGTATTTAAATTATTTGCATGGTCAATGGTGTGCAAAGACAGAAATAGGGTGGTCTATGACCTCTAACCAACCATCCTAGGAACTTTTAACTTTGCACTATTGGGAAAATTTTGGTGGAAGAACTTAACCGATAGAAAACTGTTGTGCAAGAGTGTGCTATGGTAAATGTGCTTTATGTGAAGAGAACCTCATGGAACAATTGAGATATAGGAACATGAAGTTCTGTTATTTTGAGAGGCCATCTGAACTATAAGATGAATTCACAATTGAAGTTGTTGGAAAGATGGCTATCACTTGACCGATTGTTACAGACCTCTGGTAACTAGAGCAGCTTAGGTTAATGCAACATTTTGGGGCATTCAATCGACTCACTATTTTCATTTCAGCTTGCTACTGAGACACCAATTTTCCTTGAGCCTTGCCTTATCAGTATCTCTTTCATCTGTCAACCCTAATAATAATTTGACTTTTAATTCATAGTCAGCCCTCTTGTCCACCATCTTTTTTTTTTTTGGCTCAGGTAGCTACGTTTTGGTTGAAAGTATTTCTAACTTCATGGGTGGTGACATGGAATAGTACCTAGAACTAACTGAGATCGTGGTGGAATGCTACTAAAATATCTTTTTTCATGAATTCTGATTAATTCTGTTCTAAATTCCATTTTACTTGACCTTATTTTTGTTTGGCTGTTGTGTAGTGCTTTTCTTTTTCTTTTTTTTTAATTTCCTCCTAGTGTCTTGTGTCAGATCACCTGCTTTCTGTCCATAGGGAAATATAAATTATATGAGCCTAACGCTCCATGTGAAATGGAAGTATGGATGATCATTTAGGCCATTGGCCTCTATGGTTTTAAAATAGACCACCTGGGTTCCTCAGAAAGTTTGGGATGAGAATAGACTAAATCTGTGCAAAAACTAGGAAAAACATGCCACAAAGGCTAATCCTTGAAGGCTTTTTCCAATTTGCAATTGTTTTGCATATAGATAAGATGGTCGTGTTTAATTGGTGTGAGAGTATCATTAGCAGAAATATTGAAGGATGAGGAACATTCAAGTAAATATGGAATCTCATTTTTTATATCCATTCACGAGTCATTCTGGGTACTGTCATAAATTGTCGTTTGGGGAAGTACTTATTTAATTTTCGTTAAGAGAATTTTTTGAAACAAGTTTGCTTGTCACTGAGCCTTATAGGAGATTCAGTAGCTGCTTAGATTATCATGAAAGTAGTGCTCGTAGGTTGCAGGATTTGGTGTATCATCTATAGTAGGTGGATGCATGTCACACGAGGACTATAGGCTGTATGCACATTCACATCCTTATATGTTGCCTCCAGACACTACATTTACCATCACAAATGGGTATTTGTTCCATTGTTGTAATATCAAGATTTGCATGTTTTATATAATTGAGAAACAAATAAATCAATATGTCAATGAAGGGTAACTTCTATGTTAAACGTAGATTAATCTTATAGAATGAGAAGGGTGACATGAAAATTCAAAGTAGGCATAAGGACTTCCATGTTAAACTTGTTATAATCTTTTTAATGATTCGTTTTAAATCTTGTCACCACTGTCTGAGCTTTAAATCTTGTTGAGCAGCATTCAAACACAGTCAAAACTTCAAAAACCCTTAGATGGTGCCAGTGGTACTATTTTCAGAGATTTGCAGTTTTAGGCATACAATAACTGGTTGATAATTTGTATATTTTTAAATATTCAGCTCAGAGTCGATTCATTATTGAACCATCATTTTCAATTTGATTTTCTTTCTGGACCATTTATACTATGTGCAACCGTAAGGATCAAGAATGCCTTTTCATCAAAATGTCAGGTATGAATCACCCTATTGGCGCAACATGGCTGCGACGCGCATTCAAGTGGCTTGGAGATACAGGCAGAGGCGTATAAAGCGGGTGTCAACTAACTCTAGCTCTCGTGCTCGTTGATGAGCATCCATCCGATTCAGCAAAAACAAACATTTATTCCTGTAATTTGTATCTATATCCATATTCGGCTGTATGAAGCAAAAAGGTCCCTTCCTGGATAGCATTCTCTTGCGATAGGGTTATGATCGTCTCAGTCTCAACATCGAGAGGACAAGTGGTGCGTGAACATGCCCAAGTTTCCTGTGAAAGAAGCTTAGGGCAAAGACGGTTCGTATGTTCTACTCCTTGGTCACAGTTTATTGCTGTGTCACACCTCACAATCTGGCCTTATTTCATATGAACCATTGACAAGAGTACATGGTGGGATTTCGACAATCTCGGTGGTTCCCTTTCTTATTGTGATCAAACACGATATCTGATTTGATCATTAATTTAGGATCTAACAGGATTATGGTGTGTGCCAAAGGAGTCAACAACTACAGCAACCTGCTTGACCTGAGGATGAGGTCAAGCCCAAGGAGAAATCTGACAAGTGATGGATGAAGCCATGTAGGATAAACATATTTATCATATGTTATGACCAATACATAAGGTAAGTTTTGTGGAGATTCGAGTTAATATTGTTGTCATCATTATGTATGGGAGTATGTTTGACCATTCTATGACAATCTGATTGTTATGTCATGGTGCACAACGCTTGTGATTATTGGGTTACTGACATGGGTTTGATATGCTAAAAAAAAAGAAGCCAAGGTTCTATATGTTTGGGTAAGCGGTAAGATGACATGAGACACAAACCAGATGTAAATATGATGGCTTATTATGTTTGATTGCTTTGTCCTTGGATTTGTGGAGACTATCAAGATTATATAGTTATAATGATTCTTGTTCTAATTATATTATTGATACAAACGAATTAGTTTTAATAATTGAAAATCATGTATCTTCCTTCTGCAAGAAAGCTGTAGGAGAGATGTTCAGGAGAATAATTAGTAGTCTCTCATAGGACTCTATTAAGTGTTTGAGCTCTCAATATTTATCTCTCTTGAGAGAATTAGGCACTTATGGGATTTGTCTACTCTCTCTCCCAATTAGGGTTGGTATGATAATTTAGATTTTTTTATGGATTAGGATTTGGATTTAATTAGGGATTCAATTAGGAAAAGTCTTTAGGGTTAAGATTTATTTTTATAAATATACTTTGAGTCGTAAAATTTTGGTAGGAGGGAGAGTAAGAAAAGATACTTTGGGTCCCTTTTTTTCTAGTGGATTTAAAGAGTAATGAGATAAGAGTTTTTCATGTTTATAGGATAGGGGTATATAAGGAGATTATTTTTTATTATGAATAATTCAAGGGTCTTGTAATTTTTTTATATAATAAAATTTTTAATTTTCTTTATAGATGGAGATAAGAATTGTCGAACCATGTTATATCTTGCATCGACTTTTAAATATTCTTTTGATTGTAAATCTAGAGTCTTCTTTTGGTTTTTTTATTCTTTGGAGCTCAAAAGATTCGATGATCAAATATTACCAAAGATATCGATCATTTTTGCTAGTTTTACTATAAAAATTTTTGATAGTTTCACATCGTAACGAAGAAGGATGAAGGATTCTTTTGTTCGATAAGATCTAGCAAGCAAACTAGAAAAGAAACGCAATGAAGATTACGATGAGCTTAAGGTAAAATGTACAAGTATTATTCATCTTTGCATTATTGATAATATTATCAATAATGTTATTGATGATTACTCCATCATTTGTTTGAAATAAGTACTTTATTTAGCTATAAGTTTAGTTAACAAGTTATATGTGAAGCAAAAAATTATGTAGGCTGACAATGGAGGAAAGCGGAGATTTGGTAGAATATCTGGATATATTTAAAAAAAAAATATTAGATTAATTAATAAAATTTGACATAATAATTGATAAATAAGATAAGACATTATTACTTCTTACATCGTTTGTTGATAATTATGACAAAGATGATATGCATAAGAAAGATATAGTAAATTTGAAACAAGTTGAAAAATATTTAGGGTTTCTTGTCATCGAGAAAAAAGATAAATCTAGAAGCTTAGAAAACCATACATTAGTCGTATAAGGTGAAGGTCGACGAGGATGATTCTCTCGAGAGTTAGGTCTTTAGGTACAAAGAATAAAGACATATTAAGTTGAATTATTCAAAGAAAATAAAATAGAAAAAAGAACCGAATGAATGATCTCTTGTGATAGATGGTGATGAAGATGTCCTCACAAATCAAATCGAAACCGAATTGTTATGATCCTTAGAAACAATTATGTAACGAGTAAATGTTAGAAACAATGATCTTTTGTTTTTGTTCTCTTTGATTCATTTTGAGAATCTTATATAAATTAAGTTCTTCTGTTTTTGGCATTATAGTTTCATAACTCAACATCTTTGTCATTCTTTTTCTCACCATCATCACAATTTACGTACAAAACCACAAGCCATATCTATAGAGAAGACACACTAATCTTATTTAATTGAATTGCTACTGTCACTAATCTTCATGAAATCCCTTTCTTCAACGTGACATTCGAGACTAAGCCATAGGCTTATAATAAGCATGTAATATACATTCTAGAATTGCTAGTCGTAGGTCTCATAACTATTAGAGTCTTGGATGCTGTTGACACAGTTCTTCTCTTGCTGCTAATCCTGTCGAGTCATAGCTAACAACAGTCGGTAGATTTGGTGTACCAAAGCAGATTAATCCTTGTCGCGGACTCCAGCAAAAAAGGGTCAAAAGAATAAGCACCCATCGCAAGGATCCACCCAAACAGCTGCAGTGGGAGGAAATATTGAATGCAACAAAGCTGCTCTACCTCAGAAAGCCAGAGCTTTCTGCACCCCAACTCACACCTCCTTACAGCTAACATGGATGCTTAGTCTTTACAGTTCTTGTCCTAACATGCCATGTCTTCGCTAGATTACACGAGTCTTACTGCATAAAATAATTAGCAGCATCGATAGTAGTAAACCAGTTCGGTGCCATTAGCATGCCCGTGGAGAATAATAATCGTCACGCTTGTGCCACAGTTCTTAGCAGGACTTGCATGTCTTCGGAACATAAATGAGAGAGGTGACAAAACTCTCTCGGATTTGCACGATCGGGGTTTTATCTCTCCGACCACATCAGAGTGTTCGATCTCCTTCTCCGGTAGAACAAAGAAACAGCAAAAAGCCTGAAGCGAATTCATGATCTTCCTTGTTTCTTCTCCGTGTATCCTCCATTGCTTTAACTCACTTTACTGGCCTCCTGCGATGGCGAGGATGATGACGCCGGATGCTTGGTGTTGTCTAGCAAACTGCTGATCGATCGAGCTTTCACCATGCCTATCCTCTTCCTCTTCTTCGTTTCCGTCTTCTCCTCTTCCTCTTCCACCTCTTCTTCTTCCTCCATCTTTTGCATGCCATTATCAGCAGCCACGGCAGGGCGCTGCCTTTGCTCCTTCTCTGCTTCCTCCTCCTGCTCCTCGGGCGAAGTCGATGGGACAACACCATTCCTCCCGTTAGCACGCCACTTGGGCTTGCTGGTACCCAGCTGCCCTCTGACGCTGCTCATGCTCCTGAGCCTTCCTTTCCCGAGGTGGTGCTCGCAGAGGGAGTACCCGACGAGGGTCTGCTGGCAGCACCGCCATCCCCTTCCATTGACACGGCTGCACCGCGAGCCCTCCATCAGCACCGCCGGGCTCCTCCGCCTCTTCCCGCTAGCGTTCGTTGCGTTCCCAGATCTCACCACTGCTACCCCACCAATGTGGCATCCCTCCATATCAGTATCCTTACCACTGGTGCAATTATTGTTCGCTGAAGCAGGACCAGTGCTTGCTCTCGCCTTCGCCTTGGCCGTTCTCTCTTGCTCCATTCGCTGATCCCCTCCTCTTGTATTCTTCTGTGGCGACACCGTCCCTCCAAGCTGCGCCGCGCCTGACGCTACTGCACCAGAGGTGCCACTTATCCTAGGGAGGCAAAGAGATGCCAACACGGAAGACATTGCATCACAGCCCAGATCTCATCATCCATTGATTATTATTGCACCACACACATTACTATCTTCCACCTCTCGTGTGATGATGCGCTACCACGAGTTTGGGATGAGCTAATAACTACCCAGAACTAAAAAGAGGAGGAGATGTGTGTGAGTGTTGCATCAGTAGATGGGAATGGGGTGGGCTGTCATTATGGGGTCAGGCTGGCATGCATCGTATACGGTGGCAGCAAATACACCGATTTACCTTTGTCTCTATTTTAATCCACAAACGATGGTGATACAAAGGGAGAAAGGGGGCAAGTTACCTACCTCTTGCTGCTGTTGGCCTGGCCATTCCACCTCCTGCTGGAATCCACCACCTCCTCCTCCTCCTCCTCCTCCACCACCACCACCTGCCATAACCCATGAGGGTGTGTTCTAATCACCACATTGCACCCGGCAAGCAAAGAGATGTAGTAGCAATGCAACCGAGAAGACAAAGGCCGGGGGGGGGTAAGCAGTAGGCACCTGCATACTAGTGCTGCGGCGTCCCTTGGCATCTCTGTATGGATCTGAACGGGGAGGACTCCGAGTAGATCCTCCATTAGGAATCCTCCCTGATTCATGGGGGTCTATAGACAGATCCTCCCCAACTGGGTGCAACCTTTCTCCTGAGACAGTTGTTCCTCCTCCGCTGGTATCCTTGTTTCCATGGCTCCCATTCGGTGGGTGGACATGGAGGGAGAGATCTGGGGAGAGAGGAAGCGAAGCGAGAGAAGGACAGTGGGAGGAGGAGGGTCTCTTCCGGATCCTCATGGTAGAAGAGTCTGAGATGGATAGTTGGAGGGGAAGAGACAGAGAGAGAGAGTGGGAGATGTGTGGATATAGAAGACTGCATCAAACCCACCTCCCAAGAGACTAAAAGAAAATAAAAGGGGAGTTTGCTTTGGTTCTTTCTTTATTTGTTTTCTTCATAATTCATTGGATGGATAAATAATATTAATATTAATATTAATAGACTCCTCCTCGTACTTCAAATAATCTAAGGTAGAAAACTGGACATGGATATTAAACCCATATTATGTGCTTCATAAACTCTATTAAGTTTGATGTAAGAATAGGAAGTGGGAAATCCTTGGGAGAGCTGCACCGCAATCACATACTCACGAGACCGACAGGATTCAGAAAAAGCAGACCTCTCATGTGAATACTTTCTGTCGCAACGGCCGATCGGAAGACTAAACCATGGATTTGTTTCCTGAACGCTGCCATAGCCGAGACAGGTAATCCGCGCTTGGATCTGAAACGAAGACAGCCACCAAAAGTGGAATCCGACCGTCCTTTCTCGTTGTTACATGAGACCATATCCTTCATCTTTCAAGCGTAATCTATATCTTTAATTTCATCTATATATAATCCACCAGAGTCCACTGTATGCTCGTCATATGATGTACACCAAGATCACATCACAATTTCGAGTGGCAATCAGGGAGACCACGTGTCGCGCAAAGATCGATGATCGAGGAACTTGTTTTATATGTTGGCACGATCAAGCTATTAGATATAGTTGGCTAATCAGTGAGCACTAATCTTTTTGCAGCCTACCAAAAGACATCGTCCAATATGAGAAGAAAACAGGTATAACCTGCGATTGATTCATCAGTAAAAGTAGAGAGATGAACAGAGTTTGGGATGCCCGCACACTATCTGAATTCAAAACTGAGGTGAGAGAGAGAGAGAGAGAGAGAGAGAGGAGGAGTAGTAGGAAGG